GGCTTTATTTCTAATGTCTGGAATTCCAACTGGAATCACTCCCAGGTGTGAAAGCAGTGTTTCCCAGACACTAGGCATTTGAGAACCACCGTCAGGATTTTTGCTGACATTGAAGACCACCTGCCCTTTTATTTACATAATATTTTTCTTACATGACTTTTAAAACTTCAATAAAGTTGTTTTAAAAGACGACTTTCTATCACTACTATAAATGGTATTACTTCTTATAAAAAGAAAGAACCTCGAAAAGAAATAAAATCTAAACAACGTTGTTAAATCCTGGCTATGCACTGTGACCCATCCAGAGTTCTGCTTTTTCTTTTGGTTTGAAAGAAAATTGCTAAGTGTTAGAGACAGTCTAGCACCCCAGGGTCTTTTTCCTTGATGGACTTGGAAGGATTAGAATGGGGACTTTCTTACTACGTGGTTCACTGTTCAGTGGTTCACTGTTGTTTAATGCCATATCAATGCACAATCCAAAATCATGCCTTATAACATTTGAATTCCACACTTTAGGAAAGAGTTAGTTAAAGCCTTTCTTTCCTTTTCTAGAAAGTTTTAGTTATGTGTCCTTACGTATTTGTGTCATCTGAGCTGGACAATATGTAAAGCTATTATCACCCTGTAGTTATTGGCACTGCCTGTGATGCTGGCACTTTGGCATTCCAGCTGATATTAAAGTAACATGGCATTCAGTGTGGTAATGCACCTTTTTTTGTGAGGGTCAGAAACGCATCTATTTGGAGGCAGCATGGCAGGCCTAAACAAAGGGGAATTTGTCCTTTTTAAAAGAATTGGGAGAATCTGTGAGCTGATTTCACTGGGTTCTTCCAAATGATGTGCAGAATTGCGGCTGGGACCGCCCAGGCTGAGCTCTGAAGCCACATGGCTCCTGGCTCATTGTTTATGAGTCCTGGGTCTCAAAGAGGAGCCCCTGTGTGAGCTCACGAGGGAATAATGCGTCCCACGAGTGGGAGTGAGCCTGGTCAGAGAAAGGGTGGAGGGTTTGGAGGGTTTTGTGCAGTGCAGCTCTCTAAGTGGGAGAGTTGGTATCAGAAAAAGGCTATTTTATTCTTTTTAAAAAAAATTTATTCAAGTCTAGTTGATTTACAATGCTGTGTGAATTTCTGCTGTTACAGCAAAGTGATTCAGTTATCCGTATATATATGTGTATATATATATATATATATATATAGTCTTTTTCATTTTCTTTTCCATTATGGTTTATCACAGGATATTGAATATAGTTCCCTGTGCTACACAGCAGGACCTTGTTGTTTATCCATTCTATACATAATAGTTTGCATCTGCTAATCCCATACTCCCAGTCCTTCCGTCCCCCACCACGCTCCTTGGCAACCACAAGTCTGTTCTCTATGTCTGTGAGTCTGTTTCTGTTTCGTAGATATGTTCATTTGTGTCGTATTTTGGATTCCACATATAAGTGGTATCATATGGTATTTGTCCAAAAAGTCGATTTTAAATTATTCTATTTCAGAAATATCAGTGGATGCTCAAACTATCGGGGTGACATTTTGATGAGAGATTAGTTCTTTACATCATCTCAAAATATCTCCCTACATGTGCTGAACCTTGAAAACACTGCTAAATAAAAGAAGGCAGACACAAAAGGACAAGTCTTGTGTCATTCTGTTTCCAAGTATCCAGAATGCGCAAATCCATAGAAAGAAAGCAGATTAGTGGTTGCCAGGGGCGAGTGGAGGGAGGAATGGGGAGTGTCTGCTTAATGAGTACAAGGTTTCCTTTCAAGGTGAGGAAGTGTTCTGGAACTAGATAGTGGTGATGGAGGTACAACATTGTGAACGTACTAATTGTCATTAATAGTACATTTTAAAATTATGTGCATTTTATCACACTAAAAAATACCTCCCCAGAGATTACTTTTTAATTACAAAGGAGAAATGCACAATGGAGAAATCTGGTAAACCTTAACCCCTTAATCAAAGTTAACATCACCAATAATGGACAAACTGACATCCTATGCCCCCTGGTGGGACACACTAAGGACACATGAGTATGGAGTATTCTTGCCAAGAAAGCATACCCTGAATCTAATCGTTAGGAAGCATTAAACAAATGGAGAGACTTTCTACAAAATAAATGGTCAGTACTCTTACATAATATCAATGCCAGGAAAGGCCAAGAAAGGCTAAGGAACCATTCTAGATTAGATTAGATTAGATTAGAATCTAATATGATGTGATAACAAAATGCAGTGCATTATCTTGGATTTGTCCTGGACCAAAAACATAGTTAAGGCCGTTACTGAGATTATTGGAGAAATTTGAATATGGACTGTAGGTGAGATAAAATATTGTAAAATGTGAAATTTTTGTGATTATCATGCTATGGTTATGTACAGGAATGTCCTTGTTTTTCAGAGATGCACACAGAAGTATTTAGACGTAAATTATGGCATAGGCAACTTACTCTCAAATGGTTCAGAAAAAATGTGTGTGGGAGGGTGGAGTACTTGGAGGGAGAGAAAGAGACTGTTAAAAAATAAAATCAATCCATTTAAAACTGGTGCTATAATGTTATCATACATAGTGAAAACAAGGTCTGATTTGGTTTTTAAAAGTGAAACTAAAACTTAATTTTATGTTACACAAAATTTTAGTAATAGTAACGGGTCACAAATTATTGGAATGAAAGAAGAATGAATCAAGTGTTGATTTGGGGAGTTAGTAGCATTCACTCGTCCAACAGGATTGGTTGATGTGACTTTTTTTTTTTTTGCGGTACGCGGGCCTCTCACTGCTGTGGCCTCTCCCGTTGCGGAGCACAGGCTCCGGACGCGCAGGCTCAGCGGCCATGGCTCACGGGCCCAGCCGCTCCGCGGTACGTGGGATCTTCCCGGACCGGGGCACGAACCCGTGTCCCCTGCATCGGCAGGCGGACTCTCAACCACTGCGCCACCAGGGAAGCCCCTGATGTGACATTTTTGCTTGACATTTGCATGTCGTTTGACCAAGACGATGGTCATTTTTGCAAAAATGTTCAAAGACTTCATCAGTTTTCCCAAGTGTCGCTGTTTATCCTTTGATATTCAAAGCATTCTTTTGAGCGCTTTTCTTTCTTTGCTTTCTTCCTCTCCTCCTCCTCCTCCTCCTTCCACTCCTTTTTCTTCTTCCACATCATTCAAGTTTATTTTTTTCCTCTTTTATTGTTAACTGGTTCAGCTTGGACAGGTCTTCATGTATTAACCCCTTCGGTGCCTTTTGAGCGGTTCTTCAGTGTCACTTTCATCAACCTGATACAACCCTAGTTCTTTTGCAAGATTTCCAATGTCACTTTGTCATCGCTTTCTGTTTTGTACGATTAAGACTGTCCAACCATAGTAAAAAGCAGTTTACCCTGGAATCTCAGTGGTTTAACATCCAAAGGCTTATTTCCCAATCACAGTATCTGTCCAAAGTGTGAGGCTTCAACGCATCACGGCGCCACCATCCCAGCTACTTCATCAAGGAGACGGAGCATGGAGAACTCACACCTGCTCTTCAGCCCGGAAATGCTTCAGCCTGGAAATGACGTAAGCCAATGTTGCTTACAGCCCATTGGCCAGAATTAGTCACAAGGCTCCGACCTAACTGCAGGCGAGGCTGGGAAATGCAGTCTTTTCATGTGCAGAGAGGAAAATGAAACTGCGGCTGTCGGCCACGCATTGTGTTTGCCTTTTGTGGTTGGATGTTATTCAGATGGGGTTAGATATTGAGGGGTGTTTGAGTGAGGATTAATTTTTTAATTTTTTATTGAAGTATAGGTGATTTACAGTGTTGCGCTAGTTTCTGGTGTACAGCAAATTGATTCAGTTATATAAATATATATATATATATATATATATATATATATATATATACACACATACACACATATACATATATTTTCTTTTTCATATTCTTTTCCACTATGGTTTATTACAGGATAATGAATGTAGTTCCCTGTGCTATACCTTGTTGTTTTATCTATTTTATATATAGTAGTTTGTATCTGCTAATCTCAAACTCCTAATTTATCCCTCCCCCACCCTCTTTCCCCTTTGGTAACCATAAGTTTGTTTTCTGTGTCTGTGAGTCTTGCTGTTTTGTAAACAAATTCATTTGTGTGATATTTTAGATTCCACATTAAGTGATATCATATGATATTTGTCTTTGACTTACTTCACTCAGTATGATAATCTCTAGGTCCGTCCATGTTGCTGCAAAAGGCATTATTTCATTCTTTTTTATGGCTGAGTAGTATTCCATTATGTATACATATATACCACAACTTCTTTATCCGTTCTTCTGTCAATGGTCATTTAGATTGATTCTATGTCTTGGCTATTGTGAATAGTGCTGCTGTGAACATTGGGGTGCATGTATCTTTTCAAATTAGAATTTTCTGTGGATATATGCCCAGGGCTGGGATTGCTGGATCATATGGCAATTCTATTTTTAGTTTTTTCAGGAACCTCCATACTGTTTTCCATAGTGGCTGCACCAACTTACATTGGGATTAATTTTATAAATGGTCAGATCATTAGGAAGTATTTTCCTATTTGATCACTTTTGCTTTGTTACGCAGCAGGGCAGCAGGGACTGTGATAATGAATACTCAGACAGTGAGCTTACTCTGGTGCTGTGAAATCCCCATGGCATTGCCTGGTGGGTGGGGGATCTGGAACAGCATTTTAGCACACACAGAGCTACTCTTTCCTGCCCAGGTGCCTGCGGTGTGCTGCTTCGAAGACTTACAATGCTTTTCTAAATTAGGGATTTTAATTGGTCTTCACCCCTCCTCCTCCACAGGGAATATCTGGCGTCTGAATGCAACAGAGAAGAGCTTCTCCTGCCAGACTTTGTCCAGTAAAGTCTCTAGGCAAATGAAAGATGGGAAGAGCTGTTTAAGATTTTCTAAAACCCCATGAAAAGTTGCTTATTTTTCATTTTCCTAGTGCTTTGTCCCTGACAAATTTGAATTTCTTTCACCCTCTTTAGCACATCTCCTCTGGGCTTTAAACGCTACTACTCTGTGCACCACTGTGCCCCGTGAAAATGTTGGTGCTTCTGGCTTTCATCATCATCTTCCACATCACGTCTGCGGCGTTGCTCTTCATTGCCACCATCGACAATGTAAGTTCCCTTTCCTTTTGACCATCCCAGAACCTCTGGATCCTAGAGTCAGTATAAGTAGGATTGAGAACTCCCCCAAGGTGATTATAATTTGGAGTCATCCTCCCTACCAAGCACACCCATCTCCTCAGCCTGGGCCCGAGGACTCTTGGCCTAAGTGTGGTGGTTCGAAGCATCACATGTGTCTGGACGGGCAGGAACCTTGGTCCTCTCATCCCTGAGTCCCCCACAGAGCCTGGCACGATGCCTTGGCTGTAGGAAGCCCTTTGAGGATGTGGCTTAAATTCAGCTCTCTGCAGGTCATTTTCTTAACCGTGGCACGGTTGTCATTTTGGGCTGGATCATTCTTTTTGTGGATGTTTAGCACATCGTAGGATGTTTAGCAGCATCCTCGGTCTCTACCCATGTGATGCCAGCAGCACTCTAGCCCCTAGTTGTAATGCCCAAAAATGTCTTCAGATATTGCCAAGTGTCCCATGGGAGGCAAAATCACCCTTGGTTGAGGACCATTGCCCTAGATCTCCCAGATGACCCATCCCAGGTGATCTTTGCCCCATCCTGTCTCTGACATCTCCTTACTGACAGGATCCCCTGTTGCCAGCCCACCTGGCCATGCCCTTCCCGGCAGAGCTCATGCTTGGAACTTTCCCCATTCTGCCCATGAGCCCATGACAAATTTAGTTCTTTCCTTGAGTGTCCAGCTCACAGCCATATAGCATTTGATAAATAACCTATGGTCATAGATTAACGTCCCTCCTGGCAGGAAATGAAGCTTTTTACCAGAGATGCCCTATGGCCCACACCCTGATCCAAAGGCCTGGCTTCAATCCTGATAGTTTCAGACTGTGGAGACATTTAGAGTCAGAAAGTCTGCTCAGAAAGCCAAAAAGTGCACCTACAAGCAACCATCCAGTCTGGCTGCATATAGGCTCCTGTCAATTAATCATCAAAATAACAACAACACGGACCAGGACAACACCTGTCACTTAGGGAGTACTTACTCTGGCAGCGCATATGCTCAGCCCTTTTATGTGCATCATCTCATCTAATCCTCCCCTCAGGTCTACAAGATAGGTCCTCTCCTGGCACTATTTTATGATGAGGAAACTGGGCCTCAGGGCATTTAGGGAGCCTGCTGGAATTGACATGGCAGGAAAGTGGCAGAGCTGGGATTTGAAGCATTCCAGAGGCTCCTGGCTCTACATCCTGTAAGGATCCTGTAAGGAGTGCAGTGATTGGGTCTGGGTTCCTGGAGGTCCTGGAAGAGCTGTCATGAGTGGCCAGGGCAGGGACCACATTGATGCTGTGAGTTAAAGTCCTGGGAACCTACCATTATCCAAAGGACCCACTCTCTGTGAACTAAGTGGTTTTGAATGTTCTTTTAGAATCTTTTTCTATTGCTTTCATCTAGTCCCTTGGGATCCTGAAAAGGTCCCAGACATAGTGAAAGGGATAGATTAACATTAAGCGCAGAAAAGCCATCAGCCACAGCAACAGCTAATCCCTGTGGGTGTTTCTGTTACCATGGCCCTTACTGAGAAGACACAGGTGGGCATTTTTGCCAGTCAGTGAGTCATGCGGTCTTCGTGGTGAGTTAGGAATTGTGCTTGGCACTATCCTTAGGCGCGTAGTGGGAGCTCAGTGACCGACTGTTGCCTGGATGGGGGTGGGGTGGGGGGGAGATTCCAGTCTTCGGGTGGACGGAAGGCAGAAGGAGGCCCATCTGGGGGCAAAGAGCAGCAGGAGCACAGAGAGAAACAGAAGCATTTGGATGGAAAGCAGGAGAGTCTTTTGTCTGATTATTTCATCTGAAACAGGCTCTCCCCGCTAGATCTCATCCTTTCCCCCCTTCCTCCGGCACCACCCCTGCAGTTCTGTTGGAATTCACCCCCGGCTACTCTTATCACCACCAGCTGAGCCTCACCTCCTCACCCCCGTCCTGGGAGGGCCTGGACCTTCCCTTTCAGCAGACTAGTGGAGTGGGCGTCACCTGGGAGCCTGTTAGAAATGCAGACTCTCAGGCCCCACCCCAGACCCCTTGAACCAGAATCCGCATTCTAACCAGATCCCCAGGTGACCTGCGTGCACACCACAGGTTGAGAAGCACCGGTCCCGAATTTTCATCTAGTCCTGTGCCTCACCTGATTAGGGGCCCGTGTTTTCATAATGAACGAACAGCCTTTCCCTGTGTTCCCATTTCGTGTTACAGGCCTGGTGGGTAGGAGAGGAGTTTTTTGCAGATATCTGGAGAGTATGCGTCAACAACACGAATTGTACAGAAATCGATGACTCCATTCAAGGTGGGTGTGAAGCTGCTGGGAAAGCACTGAGTGACAAAAGATCCCTCAGGAGAAAGGCTTCCCTGTTGTCTGACTCCTCACCCCTCCTTCATCACAGCCTGTGCAGAGAGGGGCCTGGCTGCTGCTCAGGGCATGCTGAGCAGGGGTCAGCATAAGCTGGGGACAGGAGCGGGTGGGGAAGCCAGAGGCCAGAGGGCACCAACTCCAGGAATGCTGGGCCCCACCCTTCTCTTCTCTCTTTCTTGGCCAAGCAGAGCTTCCCTCCCTCACCCCTTCTCAGCTTCCGCCCTCATCTAGAATCTTCTCCCCACACCTCTAAATAGGCTCAGAGACATCTGTGTTACTTCCCTGCATCTGAGCAGCCTAATGGGCAGAAACCTGAGAGCTGGCTCCTTTAAGAGCTGTGTGACCTTACCTTGGGCAGGTCACGTGAGTGCTCAGACTCTCAATAGCCTCAGCTGTACATGCAGGTGACAGCAGTGCCTGCCCCTGTACAGGAGCCACAGTAGACAAAAGGGCTTTGCAAATACAGAAAATTGCACCTAAAAACATGCCAACCCCTCTCCACTGTGGAGTGAATGGGTTGGTTTTCTGTTGTAGAACTGATAGAAGAGGCATTTTGGCTCCCAGCGCCTGATAAAATACTGGATGCCCAGTTAAATTTTATATCTCACATAAACAACTAATAATTTAGTATAAGTATGTCCCAAATATTACATGGGACATACTTATACTAAAAAAATTGTTTTTGTCTACCTGATATTCAAATTTAACGAGCATCCTGTTTTTATGGGGTTTTTTTCGTGGAATCCTATTTAGAGAGCAAGGGACCTTGATCACTGGGTCCTAAAGTCTCGCTATTCCAGCAATAACAATGTCAACGTTCATAATAAAAGCAAAAATACCAATAGAAGGCATCATTTATTGAAGGTTTACTGGGAGGCATTGGGCTAAGTCCTTTACATAAATGATCTCCTGTCCCTGTCTGCAGGGACTGTTGGCGCTGTTTTAAGATGGGGAAACTGAGACACAGAGAAGAAACCCAAGTTCACAAAGTCAGGAGTAAATGATGGAGTTAGGATTCCAGTCTAGACATGACCAACTCTGAAGCCTGCATTCTAAAACACATAATGCAATCCACGCCACCTCCCCTCTGGGTCTGTTTCTCTGCTGTGCTAACCCTTGACCCTGGAAACAGCAATTCTTCCCTGTTGGAGCCCCATCGTTGCCAGGGTGCCTGGTCAGCTGGGAGCACTGGCTGTGCTCTGAGGCAATGTTTCCCAGCTTCTGTCATTTGCATATAACATCCCCTGTGTGCATTTCTTACCGCTTATTTTTCTTTATTTTTTTAAATTGAAAAAAAATTTTTTTTTGGCTGTGCCATGCAGCTTGCAGAATCTTAGTTCCCTGACCAGGGGTCGAACCTGGGCCCCCTGCAGTGGAAACGTGGAGTCCTAACCACTGGACCACCAGGGAATTTCCTTATTTTCCTTTAAAATAACTAGCTGGCAAACTACCAGCCAGATTCAGTCCAATGAGCTAAGAATGGTTTTTATATTTTTAAAGCATTGTAAAAAAAAAAAACAAGCAAAAAACCCCCAAAATAGGGCTTCCCTGGTGGCGCAGTGGTTGAGAGTCCGCCTGCCGATGCAGGGGACACGGGGTCGTGCCCCGGTCCGGGAAGGCCACAACACTGAGAGGCCCCGGTACCGCAAAAAAAAAAAAAAAAACCCAAAATAAGACAATGAACAAGGGACTGTATGGCCACAAAGCCTAGAATATTTACTGTCTGGCCTTTACAGAAAAACCGTGCCAACACCTGCTTTAAAACAGTTCACTTTTTCCCTACATAAATTTATTTTAAAGGGAACTTTATCTGCCTATTGTAAGTCATACACTGGTATGACTTACCATAAAAGAAAGAAAACATTAAAAAAAAAACTACATTGAAAACCAAATGATGTTATTAAATTCTGAACACATGCACTTGCCTTTTGATGGCTTTGAATCTGTTTCTGGTTCTTTCCTGGTTAAAAACCAAAACCACCACCAACACCCAGATACTGGCAGGTGTTACAAAAGTGCAAAAGCACCAGGTGTAGAGCTCCTCCTCCTTGGGGGTCCTTGGATGAATTTAAACACAAGCAAAGGGAACATTCCTCTCTTTAGGTGAGGTTTGGTTGTTCGGTGACCTGGTTGGGTTCCACCTACGTTCATCTCATCAGCCAACAGTGGTACATGCTGCACCCACCCCCCAGCTTTGAGAAACTCTGCTCTAAAAAAAATGAATCCATCTTTTTCTTTAAAGCCTTTGTCTTAGTCCATTCGGGCTGCTAAGACAATACCATAGATGGGGTGGCTTGAACAGCAGATACTTATTTCTCGCAAGGTGCCAGCAGATCCAGTGTCTGGTGAGGCCTCCCTTCCTGGTTTGCACACAGCCACCTTCTTGTTGTGTCCTCACCATGCAGAGAGCAGAGAGCAAGACAAGTTATTGTGTCTCTTATAAGGGCACTCATCCCATTAATGAAGGCTCCACCCTCATGACCTAATCACCTCCTAATAGCATCCCATTGGGGGTTAGGATTTCAACATATGAATTTTTGGGGGTATACAAGCATTCAGTCTACAGCAGCAGCCATGTTTTCCATATTTGCCCCATCACCTGGGGTACTTGCTAAAAATACAGATTCCTGGTGCCCATCCCAGAAGGACTGTATCATAATCTCAGAGGAAGAGGCCCAGGAATCTATTTTAAGAAGCCCCTAGGTGATTCCTGGGATCGGGCAAAGTTGGGAAGCTCTGCTGTAAGCCAGAGGGTCACAACCTTGGCCCCATGTTGGAATTCCCTGGGGGACTTTACATGCCCTACCCCACTTCTTGTCTGATCCCAACACCAAGAGATTCTGATTTATTTTACCTCAGGGTAGCCTCCAGGATTTTTATTTTTAATGGAGCTATAATTTACAAACAAGGAAATGCACACTTCTTAAGGGCTCAGTTCAAAGTTTTGACAATTATATTTATACCCATGTAACTATCATCCAAAGCAAGATAGAGAACATTCCCATCACCTCAGAAAGTTTCCTCGAGCCCTTTTCCACTCACTTCCCACCACCCCCTGCCCCAAGGAGCAGGGTTTCTGACTTCTGTCACCATGGTTCTCTCTCTCTTGCTCTTGGGCTTCATATGAAATCATATGGTATGTATGTGTGGGGGTGGGGGGTGGGGCTCTGGCTTCTGTTCTCACCGTAGGGAATGGGGAGGGGGCTAGATGCTCTCTGAGAGATCCAGTGGACCAGGATCCATTGCTGTAAATGTTGGATTAAGTACTTACAAATCATGCTTCCCTCCAGTCAGTTTCAGGTAAAATTTTAAAAAAAAAGAGGATTTGTCCTTAGGTTTTCCTCTGCAGCTTTGGGCACTGTTCCCTCACCTGTCTTAGCTGCATCCTGGTGATAACATCCAGCCCTTACACGGGACTCCCTCTTTGCTAGCCCCACCTGAAATCCTTACATAGTTGAGTTCATTCCATGTTCCCCCACTGATGAGGTGGGAGCTATTACTATCCCCATTTTACAAGTGAGGAAACTGAGACCCACACAGGTGGCTCCAGTCCCTGCACTTGACCCCTTCATAGCCTCACCTGTGTCCTTCCCACACGCAGTGCCCTCCACCCAAGACCAGCTCCTTTATTCGCTGAAAATTCCCGATGCTGAGCCCCAAGCTCTCATGCCCCACTCACTAAGTCTAATCTGAAAAAACCACTTCCCCTTTTCCTAAATAACAATCACAAGGCTCACCCTCTTAGAGGATATTTTGTGTCCACAGAACACTTCCAGAAGGTCCCTCAGCCCCGTGAGCCCTGTATCTCCAAGAATCCCTTTGGAGGTCTTTATACGGTGCAGACCCCCAATCCTGACGCAACCCATCCCATTCCAGCCTCTTGATCCAGAATCTGCCAGGTTGGGACCTGAGGATTTGTACTTTAAATAAAAAAACTGACCATGAGCCAGGCACTTGGGGGCAATACCCAAACCAGGAAGACTGCAGAGTGGGTGGTTCTTGCTCCATTTTCCAGATAAGGATGTTGGAGATCATCTGGTCAATTGCACAAATGGACACTGGAGGGAGGGGGTGTCAGGAAGACTCCTTGGCTGCCCTTGTGCTCATTCTGTGCAGATGAAAGCCTGGTGCCCTTTTGCTTCCCATCATCCCTGCTCTGGAGCTGTCACTGTGCACCCCAGGGGCCCGGGCGGTCTGTGGTCCTCAGTCATGAGCTCTTGCCCTTTCCCCACAGAATTCTCCACGGTGCAGGCGGTCCAGGCCACCATGATCCTGTCCACCATTCTCTGCTGCATTGCCTTTCTGATCTTCGTGCTCCAGCTCTTCCGCCTCAAGCAGGGAGAGAGATTTGTTTTAACCTCCATCATCCAGCTCATGTCATGTAAGTAAAACGATGGACTTCTGGAGTAAACACTCTCTTCCCAGCCAATCATGAGTAGAAGCCGGGAGGAGTGTGGCAGGTGAGGACTTGGAAAGGAGAGGTTGGCAGCTGTGCCATGGTGGGATGTTTTATACTTCAGACTTCAGATTTAGTTAGGGGGTCAAGAAGAGTGTCCTGAAGATATGAAGCCTGAGCTGGGATCTCTAGGGTAAGTAGGAGTTGCTGTCTTGGTACAGAGGAGAGAAGCATAGTTACCCCAAGGAAAATCTGGGTACTTAACCTCATCCTACCACTAATATCTGTGAGTGTTGGTGATTCAGTGAGGATGCTTTTGGCTGCAAGTAAGAGAAAAATCCAATTAACAATGACTTCGGCCACAAAAACTTTTACTTTTTTTATATAACAAATCGCTTAAAGGTGGAAGGTGTCAGAGTTGGTTTGGCAGCTCAGCAGCATCATCAAGAAGCCCCACTCCTTCCATCCTTCCATGCTGTCATCTTCAGAGTGTCAGTGATGACCTCATGGCCCCCAAAAGGCTGCTGCAGCTCCAGACATTCATCCTGGCCTAACAGTTTCTAAAACAGTAAGCAAGGGAAAATACAGCAACAAAAAAAATGCTTTCTCCTCCCACATCTCCCTCTTTTCAGGGTATTATATTTTTCACGGAAGGCTTTTCTGTGGCCAGAACTGGGACACATGGAACCATAAACTATAGCAAGTAAACAGGAACAGGATTGCCAAGAGGGGTTGGCAGATTATGGCCCATGGGCCAAATCTGGCCCACTGCCTGTTTTTGCAAATAAAATGTTATTGGAACACAGCCCCGCCTACTCATTTATGTATCATCCAAAGCTGCTTTCATGCTGCGACAGCAGAGTTGAGTAGTTGCAACAGAGACCGTACGTGGCCTGCAAAGCAGACTGCTTCCTGCCTGGCTGACCGATGGCTTGGACCAATTATGACCCTTTGGGCTGGGTAGCTGGCTGCCCAAACAACATTGAGTTCAGCTAGCAAGAATGGGAAGCAGAATGGCTACAGGGTAGGCAGCACTATTCTGCTACAAAATATTAGTTGTAATCTTCCCAAGAGACTAAAATAAATACCTACTAATGACAAAAACTGAAGTTTGTCTTCAGCTCTGACCATAGTCCCCTCAGGTCCCTGGTGCATGCTGTGGTCTGTGACTTATTTGGACCCTGGCTTTCTTCCGACAGGCCTGTGTGTCATGATTGCAGCTTCCATTTATACAGACCGGCACGAAGACATTCACAAGAACAACTCAAGACTGTACGCCCTGACCTCGGACGGCAGCTACGGCTACTCCTTCATCCTGGCCTGGGTGGCATTTGCTTTCACCTTCATCAGCGGCCTCATGTACCTGATACTGAGGAAGCGCAAATAAAGCCCAGGAGCTGGGTCACTTTCGCTGCAGTACAGAATCCACGTTCAGATAACCGTTTTGTATATAATCAATTTTTTTTTTTTGTGGTTTTTCTAGCAAACACATTGTTTCCTTTAAAAGCCAAAAGAAGAGAAGAATTTTTGCATTCTTGAGATCAGAGAATAGACTATGAAGGCTGGAATTCAGAACTCCTGCCCATCTGAAAGACTCAACACCACAAAGCCAAAGATCCAGCAATGCTCAGATCCAAAAGTGTTCAGCAGTATCTTTCTTAACCATG